CATAAGACTGTCAGTTGATTTCTCAACAGAAATTTTTACCGACCAGAAGGGATGGCATGAAATATACAACATGATGAAAAGCAAGGACCTATAACTAAGATTACTCTACCCAGCAAGGCTATCATTTAGAATTGAAGAAGAGATAAAGAGCTTCCCAGACAAGAAAAAGCTAAAGGAGTTCATCACCACCAAACCAATATTATAGAAAATATTAAAGGGGCTTCTTTAAGGAAAAAAAAGACAAAAAATATAAATATGAAATATAGGAAAGAAAAAGTTCTCACTGACAAAAGCAAACAGTAAAATCAATGGATCAACCAACTATATAGCTAATACAAAGGTTAAAAAGCAAAAGTAGAAACCTTATGTAATTACAGTAATAAACCAATACACACAAACACGTGCAAAAGTAGTAAAAAATAATGACAACAACATAAATATGGAGAGAATGAGAAAAAATTGTAGTGATTTTGGAAGGTGTTAGAACTTAAGTGACCATCAATTTAAAATGCACTGTTATAAACATAGCTTGGTATATATAAAGCACAGGGTAATCACAAACCAAAAATCTGCAGCATGCAAGAAATAAAGAGAAAGAAATCCAAATACAACACTATAGAAAGTCATCAATGTACAAGAGAAGAGAGCAAGAAAATAAAAACTAAAAATTATAAAAATAATTAATAAAATAGCAATAACTATACACCTATCAATAATTACTTTAAATGTAAACTGATTAAATGCTCTCCTCAAAAGACATAGGGTGGCTGAATGGGTTAAAAAACAAGATCTATACATAGGCTGCCCACAAGACTGAAAGGCACTTATAGACTGAAAGTAAAGGGATGGAAAAAGATATTTCATGCAAATGGAAATGAAAAAAAAAAAAAAAGCTGGAGTAGCTATACTTATATCAGACAAACTAGATTTTTAAACCAAAGCCTGAAACAAGAGATAAAGAAGGTCATTTCATAATGATAAAGGGATCAATCCAACAATAGGATATAGTAACTTATAAATATCTACATACCCAACATAGAAACACCAAAATATATAAAGCCAATATTGATGGACATAAGAAGAGAGATAACAGTAAGACAATAATAGTAGGGAAATTTAACACCTCATTGATATCAATGGATAGATTATCCAGACATACAATCGAGAAGGAAACAGTGGTCTTATGACACATTAGACCAGATAGATTTAATTGATATGTTAAAGCACTTCCCCCAAAGGCAGCAGAATATACATTCTTTTCAAGTGCACTTGGAACTATTTCCAGGATAGACCAAATGTAATACATGTCTCAATAAATTTACGAAAATTGAAATCATATTAAGGATCATTTCCATTCACAATGGTATAAAACTGGCAATCAATTACAAGAAGAAAGCCGAAAATCATACAAACACATGGAGGCTACATGATACGCTACTAAACAATGAATGGGTTAATATGACATCAAGGAAAAAATCAAAAGATACCTTGAGACAAATGAAAATGAAAACACGTGACTGAAAACCTATGAGACACATCTAAAGCAGTTCTAAGAGGGAAATTCATAGCAATACAGATCTACCTTAAGAAACAAGAAAAATTTCAAATAAACAATCTAACCTTACACCTAAAGCAACTAGAAAAACAAACAAAGCTCAAAGTGAGTAGAAGGAATGAAATAATAAAGATCAGAGTGGACATAAATGAAATAGAGCCTAAATAAAACAAAAAAATAGATCAAGGAAACCAAGAATTACTTCTTTGAAAAGATAAACAAATTTGATAGAACTTTAGTCACAGTAATCAAGAAAAAAAAGAGAGGACCCAAATAAATAAAATCAGAAATGAAAGAGAAATGACAACCAACACCACAGAAATACAAAGGATTATAAAAAAATACTACAATTATATGCCAACAAATTGAACAACCTGAGAGAAATGAATAAATTCCCAGAAATATACAATCTTCCAAACTGAGTATGGAAGAAACAAAATATATGAACAGACCAATAAATACTAATGAAATTGAACCAATAATTAAAAAACTCCAAACAAGAAAAAAGTCCTAGAAAAGACAGCTTCACAGGTAAATATTACCAAACATCCAAAGAAGAATTAATACCTACCCCATTCAAAAAAATTGAAGAGGAGAAAAGACTCCCAACCTCATTTTATGAAGGCAGCATTACCCTGATACCAAAACTGGACAAAAAAATGATAATAATAAATAAAAAATTTAAGCTAGTATCCCTGATGAAAATAGATGCAAAATAGCAGCAAATCGAATTCAGCAATACCTTAAAAAGATCATAAACCATGATCAAGTGAGATTTATTCCCAGGATGCAAGGTTGCTTCAATATCTGCATATCAATTAATGTGATACTCCACATGAACAAAATGAAGGATAAAAATTATATGATCATATCAATAGATGTAGAAAAAGCATTTGACAAAAGCCAGCAGACATTTATGATGAAACTCTCAGCAAAGAGAGGATAGAGGGAACATACCTCAACATAATCAAGGCCATATATGACAGACTCACAGCTAACATCATACTTAACAGTGAAGAGCTGAAAGCTTTTTCATTAGGATCAGGAACAAGACAAGTATGTCCACCTTGACCACTTTTATTCAACATAATATTGGAAGTCCTAGTCATAACAATCAGACAAGAAAAACAAATAAAAGTCATCTAAATTGGAAAAGGAAGAAACAAAACTGTCATTATTTGCAGATAACATGATACTATGTATGGAGAACCTTAAAGAGTCCACCAAAAAATTGTTAGAATAAATAAATTCAGTTAAGTACCAGGATACACAATTAATATTCAGGAATAGCTTGCATTTTTATACACCAATAACAAACTATCAGAAAGAAAATTAAGAAAACAATCCCATTTACAATTATATAAAATACCTAGGAATAAACTTAACCAAGGAGGTAAAAGACCTGTACTCAAAAAAAAAAAAAACTATAGACATTGAAGAAAGAAACTAAAGAAAATACAAATAAATAGAAGGGTGTACAGTGCTCATGGATAGAAAGAATTAACTTAGTTAAAATGTCTGTACTATCCAAAGCAATCTGTAGATCCAATGCAATTCCTATCTAAATACTAATGGCATATTTTACAAAACTTGAACAAATAATCCTAAAATTTATATGGAACCACAAAAGATCCCAAATAGCCAAAGCAATGTTGAGAAAGATAAAGTTCAAGGTATCATGCTACCTGATATCAAACTATACTACAAGGCTATAATAATCAAACAGCATGAGACTGGCATAAAAACAGACACAGATCAATGGAGCACAATAGAGAGCCCAGAAATAAATCCATATCTGTATGAGCAATTACTCTATGACAAAGGAGGCAAGAACATATAATGGAGTAAAGACAGTCTCCTCAATAAATAGTGCTGGGAAAACTGGACGCATGCAAAAAAAAAAAAATTAAACTTGACCACTGTCTTACACCATATACAAAAATAAACTTGAAATGGATTAAAAATCAAATTTAAGACCCAAAACCATCAAACATCAAGAAGAAACAGGCAATAAACTCTTTGACATCCCTCTTAGCAATATTTTTTTGGATATGTCTCCCCAATCAAGGTAACAAAAGACTAAATAAACAAATGGGGCTACATAAAACTAAAAGGTTTTGTAAGTGAAGGAAACCATCAACAAAATGTAAAGACAACCTACTGAATGGAAGAAGATATTCGCCAGTGATACATCTGATAAGAGGTTAACATTCAAAATATATAAAGAACTCATATAACTTAACACCAAAAATACAATCTAATTAAAAATTGGATAGAGGACCTGAATTTTTCCAAAGAGAACATAAAGATGGCCAATAGACATGAAAAGATGCCCCAAATTACATCACTAATGATTAATTAGTGAAATGCAAAATAAAACCACAATGAGATATCAACTCACACCTGTCAGAATGGCTATCATCAATCAACAAAGAAAACCACTGGTGAGGATGTATATAAAAAGGAATCCCCGTGCACTGTTAGTGGGATTGCAAATTGGTGCAGCTACTATGGAAAACAGTATGGAAGTTCATCAAAAATTTAAAAATAGAACAACTTTATGACTCAGCAATACCACTTCTGGGTATTTATCTGAAGAAACCCAAAACACTAATTCAGAAAAAATATATGCACCCTATATTCACTGTATTGCTATTTACAATAGCCAAGATATGGAAGCAACTGAAGTGTTCATCAAATCAATGGGTAAAGAAGATGTGGATGTATCTACAATGGAATATTACTCAGCCATAAAAAAAAGAATGCAATCTTGCCATTTTTGACAACATGGATGAATATAGAGGGTATTATGCTACGTGAAATAAGTCAGAGAAAGACAAATACCATATTCATTTATATGTGGAATCTAAAAAACAAAAATGAACAAAAGAAACAGAAACCAATTTGTAGTTACAGATGAGAAGAGGGGTTGAGGAGATGAGTGAAAAAAGTTAAAGGAATTAAGAAGGACAAATTGCTAGTTATCAAAATAGTCACAGGGATGTAAAGTACAGCATAGAGAATATAGTCAATAGCATTGTAATAACTATGTATGGTGTTGGATGAGTACTAGACTTATCGAGTGATCACTCCATGAAGTATATAAATGTCTAATCACTATGCTGTATACCTGAAACTAATATAATATTGTATGTCAACTGTAATTACAAAATAAAATAAATAACTAAAAGAATGTAATTATGCTATATTGTATGGAAGCCACACACACAATAAAAGGCAAATGGCAACAATATCTCTCAAAGTCTTTTTCATAGGCATTTTTCTTGGGTAAGTGCTAACATCTCCAAATATCTATGATAGGATCAAATATGTGTCTCTAACTGGAGAATTATGACAGTAGAATGTAATATAAGTACTAAAGAGATAAACTTGACTGTGTGAATTACTGACAAATGTTTTAAATTGCTATGGCTTGAATTCATAGTTGGGGAAGCTACAGCAGGAAAAGCATCTCGCAGCCTTGCGCAACACATTCCTGGACCAGGTGGTATAGAAGGGATGAAAGGCGCTGCTGGAGGGGTGATGGGAGAGCTGACTCGAGCACGGATCGCACTTGATGAGAGAGGACAAAGGCTAGGAGAGCTGGAAGAGAAAACTGCAGGCATGATGACCAGTGCAGAAGCGTTTTCCAAACATGCACATGAGGTAAACTGCCTAAGTAAATATAGGCATCGTCATACAGTAATAACTTTAAACATTTAGGTTCTGCACAAGAAAGCTTAAACAAAGATTCCACTGTAAGTAATCCTGTGTAAGAGGCAAAATAACCTGAATCTCATTACAGTATATGTATTACAATTCCTCAGTATTTCAGAGAAAAATATTTTTAAAAAATATGTTGATACTTCTTTATTTTAGGGGATAATTTTTAAAAATTACCCATTAGTTATACTTTGTGCATCATCTGCTAAAATGATGCTTAGGTAGATGACATGATCCCCCAAGGCGTGAGGGGCAAGAGAGGCTGGAATCCACACACTCCTTTTTGTCTTAATCATTAAAAATCATTTCCTGCCAGTTGAGTCCTTACAGCTTGATTTGTTTTTTTTTTAAACTTTTTTAATATGCACTTTATTTTATAAGAGAAGTTTTATAAGTTTGAGATTTACTTAGATATTCATGGTTAACTCAATATGAGCTTGCATTGATTAGCATTTAAAGTTTTTTTTTTTTAACATCTTACGGTGACTATTTTTTCTTTGCAGTTAATGCTGAAATATAAAGATAAGAAATGGTACCAATTCTGAACTTCTAAAGCTGTGACTGCTTTGAGAAACCATTATTCAGGGAAACCAAATTTTTTCCCAGCATCACTATTCAACTGCTAGAAGCCAGTTTCTTCTACAAAACGTTCCATTACAGTCCATCTGAAGTTATTATAAGAGAGACTTATCAGAGACACTACAACTGAAAGGCTGGAACCCTGGTTAAAATCCCAAGGTATGGCTGAATTTGCCTCTTCCCACCTGGAATGGAGCTATCATCTTGGCATGTCATTTGCTAAGGATTTACATTTAGGAACTACAGGGAGTCCTGATTTGAAAAACTCCTGTACAAACAAAAGCATTAATGCACTTAATGAAAAAAAAATCTTTGCATGATAAATTAACATCTTAAGAGGAAAAGAAAAAAGCATGTTGTGACAAAAGAAAAAAGTTTAATGGTAAACTATTTTTATAAATTGGGCCACATCTGACAATTTAAAAAATCTGCATTAGAAGTTATCAGTGCATTTCAAGTATTTTGCCATACCCAACCGAAAAGAAAAAGAAAACCAAAGTTTTTGTCCCATCTATAACTTTCGTTATACTAAAACATTATTGAATTCTTATGGCAAGAGTCTGATTAACGTTCCTCTCTCTCCATAATATTTTAGATCATTCACAGTTTTCAGTCATAATCGAGTATTGCCAGTATAGAAAATTATTCCTAACACAATTATTTCCATTTCTATCACATTCAGAACAAATTGCTATTTTTAGTCACAAACCATGCAGTGTTGAGTCACCTCAAAGCATTTTTTCAGCCTGGCTTGTTCTCTGTAGGGATGTTGACGATGGGTTTGGGGAAACTAGACCACAGGAACAATGCAGTTAGCTTTGAGAAGTGATTTCACACAGTCTGGTTTGTTTCTAAAGTGACATATTTTTAATGCTCCATTTGTATCCTTGTCTGCTAATTACACAGTATATTACTGTTCAAACCCAGTGGGGTCTTCAATCCGAAGGTGCTCTTGCAGCCTGACACACACAGACCAAACTGGTCATTCTCTTCGGTATGATTCAGTAAAACCTCAGTTAATGTTTTGGGAAAAGGATTCTGATTTATTATATTTCTGATTAACAAGGGCTTTCATTAGGAATACTTTTAGTTCAATACTTATTTTTGAAAATCTTTATAAAATGTAGTTGTGTTTTTGCTATCTTGGCCTCAGTCACCATTATGGATAACAGAAATATATAGATAATTTAATGATACAAAATCAATAATTTTTCACTCAGGCTAAATAATATAAACCACAGGATTATGTCAATAGGCACCAAACATATATTCCTTATTAAAACCTCTTTTTAAAATGGAATAAAGAATATTCTTAACATGATAAAATGGTATCTATCATAACTCAACAGAGAACTGCTAAAGCCAAAACAAAATAAAGATGCCTGCTGTCATTATTTAACATGAGTCTGGAAGGCAAAGTCATAGAAATGAATATGTGCAGATTCCAGGCGCTATCTTGTAACATGTCGTTCCTTCAAAAAGAATTTTTTCAAAAAATTAATGGGTTTGGCTTACTGAACTTTGATTAATCAGGATCTTATTATATCTACATTTACGGTTTTTTGTGTTTTTTTTTGAGAATTATTTGAGAATTACCTTAATTCCAGGTTATTTTAATTGCTAGAAATAGTATTTCCTGGATTTTTTTAGATTTTTTTTTTATTTTTAATGAATTTGTTTCAAGTGGTACTTCATTTAAATGTCCTTAGTAATTTTGAGAAGAGCAAAAATATACCAGGATACCATGTCTCAAAGTCTTTGAATTCTCCTGACTTCTCATAAAAGCTTTTTCATGAATCTCTCCAGATTCCTGTGAACAGCTTTAGTGAACAGTACCTGATTTGGAAATACAAATATGATACATAAAATTATGTAGTAAAAAATATTAAACTTGAGACCAGGATTTGGAAAACATTGGTAGTCAAATGCAGTGCACTACTTATACCATCATTTTCAAAGACCCAGTTTTCTGATTTTCTGAACAGATACTTTATCATTTCTATATTAAAAAAAAAACTTTTAAAAACCTAAAATATTATTTTAGAAACAATGAAATTTAGTCCAAAGTGGCATGAAGTTTAATGAATATCTCTGAAGTCTCCAATATGATTTGATTTAACTTGTTCTACATCGGGGTTCCTAAACAGTGGCACTATTAACAGAAAGTTCTTTGTTGTGGGGGACTGTCCTTTGCCCCATAGGATGTTCAGCAGCATACCCAGCATCTGTCCACCAGATGCCAGTAGCAACCCTCAAGTCATGACAATCAAAAATGTCTCCAGTCATTGACAAAATTGCTCCCAGTTGAGAGCCGCTGCTCTACAACATTTAAAGACAGATTAAGTGTGAATATGTAATATATGTCTTGTATAAATTAAGCATCATAACTGCATCATGTTGTGACAAGATAATACCCAAAATTATATGTATGGTTCATATGCAATAAAATACTATTTTGGAGAAAGCTTATATGAATCAGTAAAAAATAACATTTACTAAGTATTTTAAAGCATAGACAGAAATTGCCAAAAAGGACAATATTACATTTCACAGTAGAAGTGCTTAAAACTCTGGCTTAATGACTAGATCAAAAGTTTATAATAAGCACATCAATTGAAAGTAAACAGGTGCTTCTGAAATGCTTGAAAAGAATAGGTTCTTTTTAAATGCATCTTTCAATATTGTTTTTATAGACCCTTTCTTAATATAAGGGTAACTACCCCACAAACTCCTGATTAGTGGAAAACAAATAAATGAGGTTTTACTGCATCAAAATTATTTTTATAATTCAAAGAGATAGCAATAACAAGAATCTAATATGGATGTGATTTTTCTCTTTGAACATTTCTGTTCTGTTGCAGTCACCATAGTGTGCATGTGCACGCGCACGCACACGCACGCACGCACACACGCACACACACACACACACACACCACCACCACCACCATCATCTTTATCATAATCACCTTTGGCAAATGAGTACTACTGATCCATGTAATTCTTTATATCTCTATTCTATACTATTTAAATGTCTTGCCTCTATTTTTGAACATAAGAAAAATACTCCTTCTAACTTGGACAATGATAGAGAAAATGACTCTGAGCCTCAGTTGTCATCAAAATTATATCGGCTAGGGTGGCATCAGAAGACAAGACTTGCAAACCACGGTTTCTATAAGTTGACTTTATCTCCCTATGACTCCCTCAAGAGATAAGCCCTTCCTGTTGTCCCAGGAGGAACAAAAATAAGCTTTTGCTTTCTATTCATCAATGAGAAGCCAGAAGTATTTGTTTTTCTGATTCAAATAATAAGCAATAATCCCTATCATGAAATCATCCCTTAACCTCAGAGTTTAGAGAAAAGGATGACTGATTTATCATTGATTTTAATCCCCTACAAAAGCAGTACTACTGATTTTGCTTCCTATACTTCATTGAGACTCAGATTTAGTGCCCCAATCACCATCAGGGTCATTCTTTGACTAACTTTGGAAGGACAGTTACAGAACTGACAGATGTTTTCTGATAATTCAGTCATAAAGACAATTTTTCAAATCTTTTATATAGCCTTTAAATGATTCTCGAGTTAATAAATCAGAATCCAGGTCTCTATTCCTTGAAGACCTTAAGGGATTGCAAAGGAACAAGTTTACTGCTGGAGTCCTTTTATGTGAGCCCTGTGTACAGTTTTAAAGGTACCATTTGTCTGTTATCTACATTAAGGGAAGACCATGGCTTTGAAAAAAAAAAAAAAGATATGCCCTGAGTTGGTTGAAGAAAATCAAGATTAGCTCTTTGAGATACTTGGTTGTAAATGTTTGGCAAAAGGAAAAATGAAGAGGGTCTAGAAAAGTAAAATAAAAATCCTCTCCTTGGTTTAGGATCATTAGGACAACCCAGGAGTAAATCTGTGTGATTATAGCCTGTTCCCGTAGGAAGATATAACTGAACCACTTTTGTTCAGAGAAGGCAATGCCAAAAGGAATCAGACATTCCTATCAAACCTTGCTCTTTGCATCAGGAAAAACATGGTAGCCTTCACAGCTTCTTCGCTTCTACCCACTGTAGCCCCAACTGTGTTTTTGACTAGGTACTATTTCACATACACACTGGCCAGAGTGCCAGAAATACTTGCCAGTAAGTCACGTATTTGGATTGCACCATTCCAAGAAGCATGGTTGTCATGTAGCAGGTTTAGTGTATATATTTTCAGACAACATAGCCCTGAAGGGATGAAATGCAGAATACGCAAGCTCTGACTTGGGAAAGGAAGAGGAAGTGCCAATTTGGGGCAAGAGGATTGGGTTGGGGAGGGACATGGGAGCCAAAGTGAAGTGGAAGAGTCTTTGATGAGGAACCAGAGGCACAGAAGGTTGCCTTTATTTATGTTTATGTAGGGAAGGGATTCTCAACCTTGGCTGTACCTAAGAGTCACCTAAGGAGCTTTTAAAATTCCCAATTACATCAAAATCTGAGTGGGAACTAAACATCAGTATTTTTGAAAGCCCCAAGGTAGTTCAATATCCAGCCAAGGCTGATAACCACTGCTTTATGGCCAACTAAAGAAAACATGTTTGTCTACCTTGGCTTGTATCCAAGCTCTACTTCTGAGGGGTCAGGGGAGGCAAAGATGTAGGAGATACAGTGTTAGCTGGATTGATATCTATTCTGTCACAACCCAAAACAAATGTTCTGTGCAAATTTCTGACCAGACAGTGCCCCATTAACTTCTTAACTCTGTCTTTGTGATTTTCTCCTATGTGACTTGACCATTAATTATTCCAATTCAGACATCTAGGTTTTGATGATCTTATGCATGTGACATCAAAAAACATCAGAAATAGCATAAGAAATTCAACAGCATGTAAAGCCAAGTGGAAAACTAAATCTCAATAGTTCGATAGTGGAAATACTCAAAACATTTACTAAATCAGGTCCAAATTTATTATTCATTCTTTGTTGTGGAGACATGGGTACCAGGTACCTGTTCTGTTATAGGTATATTTTATTGGACTTGATCTTAGCAAGAAGGGAGGACAACTCTTCCTTTTTGATTGTTGTCTTAGCTCCCAGGGCCACTTGGATTCATTTTCTTAATAACTAGACATGTTTAAGGGGAAAGAATGCCTATAACTCACTGTCTGGCCTCCAATGCCCTGAAAGAGTGCTTTCGCCTTCAAAAAGGGAGAGTCTGCCCATCCAAGGCCATAATACTCAGAGTAAATCCAAGAGAGATCGCTCCCTCATACTGTTCCTCTCTTGCATTGGCCCACCCTTCTCAACTGCAAAGCCAGAAAATAAACTAGGTGGTGGTTATGGACAAGTGTACACAGGATCAAAATCTCTAATAACCTATAATTTTTAGTACTTAATTATGTGATGTTTTATTCTAGGAAATAAGAAACAGATGATATCATTGATGTATCTTTCTTTCATCTTCAGAATTTTTGCATCTTTTCAGAAAATGACAAATTACTATTTTTCTGTTGCACTCAGCAATTGTGACTATACTTAAAATTCTTGTAGTCTGTAGAGATATCAATAAAATTGTATATGTTTGTACATAGATGCTCTCTTATGTTATGATGTCATTCACTACTATTGATTTTTGCCAAGATTAAATGTGGACAGAGGTAAGACTCATTGACAACACTG